GGGGGGGGGGGGGGGGGAGAGGAGGCAACCACATGCAGGCACCCGCGCGCGGGATGCTCCCCCACCCCCGCTCCGGGACAGCCTCGCTGCTCCCAGATTTGCCGCCTCCCTCCTCTCCCCCTCCCCCCGTTAATCTTGCACCCCGCAAGGAACAGAAAGGAAGCCACGCGTCTCGCCGAGGGCACGGGGTAACCTCTCGCGCAGCAGCGGGGAGGCTGCCCTCTCGCAGGTTCAGGGTCCCCGCGTGGGGTCTGGGGTCCGGGCGGGGACGGACGGTGCGCCTGCCTGCAGACCTACCTCCAGCATCCAGGTGGCCACCATCCTGCGCATGTAGGGCTGGATGTCCTTCTGCACGCACTTGAAGTAGGAGCACTGGGGAAGGTAGCGCTCCTCGATGGTCAGCAAGTTCTGCAGCACGCGGTCGTCGTGGAGCAGGTTGGCGTCCGGCACGGCCCTGCGGACCGGGTCCACCTCTCCGCACAGCAGCTCCATGGCCAGCTGGGTGCCCACTCGCGCCCCTGCGATCTCCGGACTGGAAAATTGGGGGGTTTTTTGGAGGGGGGGAGGGGAGAGGATTCCCCTTACCTCCTTCCTTTGGCTAAATAAGGGGTTTTCGGGGAAATAGCGAAGGGCAGAGAGGGAAGCTGGGGAAGAAGACGGGAAAGGGATGGGCGGTGGGAGAGGAGCGCCCCGGGGGCTGCTGACTCTGCCTGCCCTCCCCTTCAAACTTGTCTGCTCTCCCCAGCTCGCTCTGCTCTCTGCTCTCCGAGGCAGTGACGCAAACTGGCTGGGCAGTTACTTCTCCGCCCTCTCGCCTCGCCCCCCTCTCCGGTTCCTCCTCCCTTTCCCTCCCCTCCCGGTCCTCCCCTCCTCCTCTCAGTGTCTCCCTCCCTCCCTCCTTTCCCCTCTTGTTATTAAGGAGAACAGCAGCTGGCCCGACCAAACTTCAAACGCGGTCCCCCGCCCCCCGGCCCCCTCTCCTTAGCTCTCCGAGGCCCTCTCCCTCTATGCAGCCCCGCAAGCCAGGGGCCTCGGAGAGGGGAACCCACAAAAAAAAAAAAAACAAAAAAAAAAACCCACCGATTCCTACTTATTTCCTCTAATTGCGCACATTCTGTAGGTGCATCCGGCCAAAATACGACCCTCCGACTCTGGCTGCTTCAAAACTGATCCTAATACTACCGCCCATGTATTTTAAGATCCAGGAATGACGGGTGGATTACTTGAAGATGAGGTGGGCTCAGACAATTGAGAAATAGATCCCTTACGTGAGAAAGAGGGAGGGCGATCTGAGAAAACAGCAACTTCGCATATACCCAGAGAAAAAGGTTATGTCCCTGAAATTTATGTTCCTGATCATGTTGAAGCCGTTTTCAAAACCCGATTAAAGGGACCAGAACTTCGGCGCCCACCCCAGCCCCCGCCCCCCCGCAGATGTGTTGGGGGGGAGGGGGGAGTGCCCGGAGGGAGGGGGCGCTTCTCCGACGTGATAGAATGTGACCCAGGAGCAGAAACCATCCCGTTCTTGGGGCGCCGCAGGCGCCACTGGGAGACGCGGGGAGGCGCCCCGAGCCGCCGCAGGTCGGGGGCAGGGCTACCAGCGGTTCCGCCGCGGCCAGCGGCCACGCAGGAAAAACCCGCTTCCTCGCCCTGCCTCTGCTGACAAGCCGCCCGAGGTGCCTGCGCCGAGCGTGGCCACACTGATACAGCTTTCTAGGAAATAGCCCGGGAGGAGGAGGGGAGAGGGGCGAAAGAGGGGTAGGTTTGGCTCCCCCTCTCTCCCCGGGCGCCAACGACACCACCCCTTCCTTTCCTCCGAGGCCCAAGAGTTCCACCCCGGGTCCCTCGCCTGCACCCTCGCGGACCCTCCGGGTTCACGCGTCGCTCGCAGCCAGGGCTTCCCCCCCCCCCCCCC